AGCAAGGTATCAAAACCATGAAAAAAGAAATTTAATTGGACATTGGAGCTAGGCTTTTCAATAGGTAATGAGTATTGGAATTAGGTTGTGGTTTATCAAGATGAAATACTGTGGTATCAAATACTGTGGTATCAAAACTTCCGTTATATCGGTCGTGTGATTGACCGATCAGCCCACTGCACTGTAATATGGATCCAACTGCTAGGAACCAAGTGGCTTCATTAAGTGAGCTTTGCAGGTGCAATAAAATTCAGGTTGTTTAACCGTATTGCGTAAAAGCAGTTATTGACAGTTTTTCTCACAGTAAACAGTTTGAATACTATTTTATTAAAGATTATTTGACTTTTGTTTAAATATAAAATAACAATTAAATAAATTGTTATTTAACCATTTATTCCGAGAAATTTCTAACAGTGTAGTTTAAATTGAATGAAAAGAAAGTTTGGGCTTAATTAAGACTCAAATTCATGTATAAAAAATAAGAAAAAAAAAGAAAAAAGAAAGAGGTTCAAAATAATCCAAAAATACTTTATCACTGTAAACATATACACTTTCCATACATACGTTAGATTTTCCATTCAATTTGCATAGTTTATAAAATTTTAAGGCAAACAGTTTAATAACCGATAAGAGTTATCCTGAATCATTACAAAAATGCATACGAGTTTATAAATAATTATAATAATTTATTTATTCCTACCCAATGTTAGATGTATTTTTTTTTTCAAAAAAGAACATAAAACAAAACATAGAGAACAAAAAAACATAAAACAATCTTAAAATTTTAATTTCAATGTCAATTATTTAATTAATAAGTTATGAATATCGTTTCCATAAGTACAAAGTGTTCCACAATCACCACCCTTAATATGTATTTTAAGAATTTTCGTCAAAAATAAAGCAACAGAATAATAATCATTAGGTCTCACAAATTAATATTATCGAAATCTTTTGAATCACTATTGAGGAAGGAAGGATTAAAAGCATCAAATCTCATTTAATTGCAGAGTGAAATTAAGTGATTAGCATAATTCTCTTTCTGCACCAATTCGTTTCCTCTGGCGAAAAATGTTTTGATATTTTTGATCCCTCCTTCCTCGTTAGTTATTGGCTACTATTACGTTTTTTCTTTCTTTTCTGGTTGTAGTATAAGACCTCTATCCTAATATGCACATTTTTGCGCTTGTAATTTTGATATGGGTTCTCAAAATACATAAAAAGAGTTGTGCAGCAAACTAGTACATGCACGAAAACCATTTAACATTAAATCTAGAATTTTGATCATCAATTTATCTTTATTTCTTTTTAATATCAAACTCATTAACTAAATATTACCTAACTTTTAATTCGAATTTTCCCAAATTTTCTCTGAATTAATTATCTGAATTAAATACACAATTAAACGCATGTTTAGATATTAAAATAAAAATAATTGATTACACAAAAAAGAGCTTTTCAAAAAATTTCAGTTACATATCAATTATTCACAGCAATCAAAATGTAAATGTAATTATTAGATACAAATTAGTTTTATCATAATTTAATTATAGTTAATTGCTAACTATACACCGAGTATCCAAACATTTAACTAAATCTTTTCATGGAACCATTTAAACCAATTCTAGTTAAGGAAGTTATGGTCCCCGTATCTGAAGTCACGTTCATACAAAATGTATTCATTAAGTTTAAGGCCTATACTAACAATTGACTAATATTTAAAATTTATTTGAGCACTCAGACAGCGATGTTTTACTTTATCTACTAATTTCTTGTATTTTGTTATGGTTAGAAAAAATAAAGCTTTTGCCCTGCCTTGAAATTAGATAAAGTGAAGTCTCTTTATAACGAAATCTTTTTATACGACTTTTAAATTTTGATATCTTGGGTTATCTATTTACATCAAAAACAATAAAATGGCTAAAAAATTTATGGAATCATTGTAAGCTATGTTGTAATTATTTTAAATTTTAATTGAGTAGGCTATGAATTTTCAAACTGTTAATGGGGTATGCAGTGAACTAAGTATTTATCCTGCATTTATTCTTGTATTAAAATTAAAAATGTATTATAAAAATGTAAAAATGTAATATAATTTGTATTAAAATTAAAAATGTGATTAAATATTCAAAAATTCATGAATTTTGATTTATATAAATGTTGTTTATGAATTAATCTTGTTTATGAATTAATCTTTTGTCGTAGATGAGACACCGGTGGCCCTTTTATATATTTGTTTTCTTCTCTAATTACTAAAAAAATATATTCGGTATTTTTTAACTGAACAGTCTAATATTTACTAAAACATCTGGATTATAGGAATTATATTTGTATTAAAATATAAAATCCAAAAAAGTCATTCATATTCGAAAAATTGTGCATAAGGGATTTTGTAAATTAGAAATTTTAATAAGGAATAATAATTTAATAAAGAAATTTTGATGATGAATAACTGTTTCTCTCTGATCTAAATAACTGCAAATTTAAAAAAAAATATTGCTTGGAAGTGACTCGTGTTTGGAAGAATTTACCTTTAACACGGAAAAAAACACCGGTGTTTCCTGCTTAATTTCATAACTATAAAACATTAGAATTTTTAATACAGTCAAACCTCGCTACAGTGAACCTTCAAGGGACCGAAATTTCGGTTCACTGTAAACGGGAGTTTACTATATCTGCACTGCGAACAATTTTAACTAATTTTTCCGAACTGCTCTCTTTTATTACACATTTAAATAAGTGACCGATAGATAGAAATACAAAAATGATTAAAAAACATTATGTAGTGTGTTAAGTTTTATTTTTTATTACTCTTCGTCTGGCGTACAAAAAATTTAGGGATGGCTTTTATTTAGGAATGGGAAACTGAGATAGAAGAAGCAAACAAGTAAAATGCTTACGGCTACATTCCACTCAATAGATGGTTTTAATAATAGATATGTGTATTTTATGTAGAAATTTCAGAATTACCAAAAAATGAAGAAAAAAAAAACAGTCTAAGACAGAAAAAAGTTCATAATATCCGATTTCCTCTTTTATTTTGGTTCACTGTATCCGCAAAAAATAACATTATATGTGTATAGCAAAGCACGGGAGTATATATGGCAGTACTTTTACTTTCGTTACTTGTACCACCGGAACAAGTAAAAAGTACGTACTTTTACTTGTACTTCGTTACTTTTTAAATTTAGTACTTTTACTTGTACTTTCGTTACTTTTTTAGGGAAAAAGTACAAGTATTTGTAACGGAAATATCGAATGAAATCGTTACTTTTTTCTAAAACTCGGTAAGCTTTCTAAAAAAACAAAAAATTAAATTTAAAAAAAATGCTTATGTTTTTTTAATTTATAAAATTAATGTGCAATATATATGCATTCACAGCTAACTTCGTGTTTAAATACCTTCTGTTTCAACTTATACTGCACATTCAATTATTTTTTACTAGCTCAAAGATCACAAAGCTATCTGAAACCCCGTGTTTGCTTTGTTTATGTTTGTGCTTTTAAAACGCGTTTCTATAGAGTAAAACAATTTTAAATCAATGGTAATTTAAATAAATAAAAATAATAAACTAAAAATTAAAATCAATAGATAAAATTTCTTTTTCGTGCAAATCCATAAAAAGTTTGATATTAAAATTATATTTGATTTTAAAATTATATTATACGATTATATTATAAAATTATATTATAATATTCTTCCGAATTTAAAAATAAATTAATGTCCATAACTTTCAAAATTAAAAATAATTAAATAAATAACAACAATTTTGCAAAAACATTAAAGAACATAAGAATATTATTCAATAAAATTTTAGGTTACTTTGAATTTTCGATTTCCTAGAAATGTACTTTTAAATCGTTACTTTTTTTGCTTAGTACTTGTACTTTTACTTGTACTTTTTACTCGTTACTTTTTAAAATATGAACTTTTTACTTTTTACTCGTTACTTTTTTTAAAAATACTTGTACTTTTACTCGTTACTTTTTAAAAGTAACGTTGCCATATATGCACGGGAGCGAACATTTCGTTCACTATAGCCGGGAGTTCCCTATAAACCATGTTCACTATAGCGAGGTTTGACTGTATAATATTTTTGCTCTTATTTTGACCTAACTAAATACAAAATTAATGAAAAAAGTAGGAAAAGTATGTTTAAAAAATATTTGGCGTCATAGGGTTAGATGATAGGTTTTAAATCTAAAATTTTTAAGTTTTTTACATAGTATGTCCATTTTCACTTTCTCTAGTAGTACTTATGAAAAAGAAATGTCTATTATTAGAAAATGATTTTGTTTAAAAACTTTAACGAAATTTCTTTTATTTTTTCTTTAATCATTATTTCTTTTATTTTTAAAATTATAATGATAATAAAAATATATTAACCTAATTAATATTAACTGGAGAAACTGAGAGTGAAAGAGAATCCTTTCCTTCTATGAAATATTTCATTAGATGGGTCCCACCAAACTATATAAATCTAAAGTACTTTTTCAATCAAAAATTAATGTATAAATAAGTAAAATAAAATGTTTTTGACTGTGTTAATGACCCTAAAACAAACAAAAATGAGCTTCATTCCCCATAATGACATTTATAAAATATTAAAAGCTTATATGAAAATTCTACATTTATTTCGGAACTTCATTGAGCTGATTGACTATAAAAAATATCGAAAGCCTATTGATAAAAGATAATGCATACTGGATATATTATTTGTAAGTCAAAAGCTTTTTTTCAAGTTCAAATTCCATATTTTTACAGTTTTCGTTATAAAGAGACTCGACGGTAAATTTAAAGTAAATAAAAATTTAAACATGATATTATAATACAAATATTATTTAATTTCCCTTTTTTAGTAAATTATTAAAATTATACTTGTAATATTAAATAAACTGAATTTCTTTGTTATAAAGTGCCAATTGCGAAAAGTTAAAAAAAGGAAGTATTTATCTTGTTTTTTTAAAGACATAGCTTTGTTATATTCCACATAAAACTTCATAAATTGTAAATACAAACAATGAGTTTGAAAAATTCTAAATAGGCACCATGAAAATTTACATAAACTTGTTGTTTAGGTAAACTGTAATACTAAACACAACTTATCTTATATTTCAAAGTTTGTATTTGAGCGAATAGTTTCGAGTTCTATTAAAGTTTATTCATCCTTTTCTGCAGAACGAGTCAGTGTAGCAATACTCATAAAATTTCTCCGATAATGCATCGACTTTTTCTAAATTGTAAAAATTTCAAATCTCGTTAGCCAAAGATGGGTTCAAAACTGGTTTCTTCTTGATTCTTTGCAACAGAGACAACGAACTAACATTTATGAACTCATTGTCTTTGTTGCAATTCTAAGTATTGGTGATTTTATCTTTACAAAAATATTATATTTATATATTAAGATGTTTATAACTAAGCCTTATTTTTCTGATACAGGTTTAGGATATGACGTGAAACGGTACACTAACTTTATCACAAAGATAAAATCTAGTGATAAAAGTTAACGGCATCAAAGTCTTCTTTCTGATGTAAAATATTTCACCATGTTATCTGCTGAACAGTATCAAGGTTTCACTTTTTATCACTCGTACAACTGTCTTCTAAAGTTGTGTGTTTTGGACTACACTCAGTTGGTGTAGGACTTCGACCTTCATTTCGTAGCTGTGCTCTTTCATTGCTGAGTTTCCTTGCTGCTGTTGTCGCAACAACGTCTATAACAGCATATTGAACAGCTGTTTGCTTTACAACAGGACTCGAGGGCTCCGAGTCACCCACCGAAACTACCTCGAGGTAATTTAGCTCTTTTGTGCCGTTGTCCTTAGGAAACGAAAACTGAGAAGTCTTTTCAGGCGATGAAATATATTCTTGGTTGCCAGGCGACGAACTGACATAACCAGGAGATGGAGAGTTAGTTTTGTTGTTGTTGATATTAACGTTATTATTTGCATTGGATTCTGGTGCGTTATCATTCAATATTTCATCAGTTGTTTCGTGTGTTCCTGTTTTGTCTTGAAAAGACTTTAGACAAGACAAGTGTGTGCACTCAGTTATGGGAATGTAAGGACATCCATCTTGGATTAAAACCCTGTCAAATGAATGGTACTCTTTGCCTGATCTAGGTCTGAGGGAGCTCGTACATGAGCTAGGAATTTTCATGAGTCCACCGCACACGTCTTCGTTACGGGGATAGTCATTAACACCTACGCCACCACATCCACTACTACCACTGCCACTACTACTTCGAGAGCAAAGACTTAAGGACTCAATATAGTCTGACATATCAGAGGAAGAGCTGGATGTCATGCTTTTAGCATCTAATACAAGGACACCTTCTGGTGATGTCAGGAATTGATGACACTGTTTACATTCTGAAATAAAAATATGACACATTTCAAAATTATTCTCTAGGAAATGCTGGATAACATTTGGTATATTCAAACATATACCTTAAAAAATGGAAAACATTAGATTCAGACATCCTCTAATTTTAGATCATGTTCCAATACTTGCTTAAATTTAATATTCAACTTTATGGAAATCTAATACATAACTTAACATTTCACTTCTATTTAATTTATTTATTAATATAATTATTTTCCACTCTGCGTTCTTGAGTTTAACATGGAGCTAAGTAAATAAATAATAACGCGTGTGTATTGCATTTCCTTCAGTTTTCATGAACTTGTATTCCACATTTTAGGTTTAGTGAGTATTAAAATTTTCCTTTGTAGAGTATTAGTTGCTGTAAACGTAATGTAATTTTATTTAACACCCAACTTTACATTAGCATTAAAATTAGTTTTGAAGGAAAAAATTATTTTTAGAGTAAATGAAAATAACTTGGCTAATAGTAAAGCTATTTGTATTCACTTTAAGTAAACCATTTTGTTTGCAAGATCATTGATTATTTAGGATAAAATGCAATTTTAAAGTTTAAAAGAAATATTAAATTTCCTCATTCAATCAAGTTATTTGAGGTTCAAATTAAGGGACCCATAAATATTGAAATAGTATCAATTTATACTTACCTGATATTAGAATCATTTTAGACTGATCCAGAGCTGGTTTCTGTTCTTGTTGAAGTTTACTTCCCATGTTCGTCGAAATTTTTTTCTCTGGAACAGGATGCCTGCTTGCAGCATTACCTGAATGACGCCTTGGTAGTGAACCATGATAAGCAATGAAATGAGAAAATACAGCACCTTGTCCACCAATTGTAGTTGGCAAGTGTGTAGATATACCTGAATCAGCAGAACTTGCTGAAGTCTGTTGATTATTTGGATTTGATTTACAAGGAACACTTGAAGATCGTTTTATGCTACTAGTACCACCCCTGGTACTATAACTTTTATCCATACTTTGGCTCATAATTACTTCGGGATCTTGAGAAAGGTCTTCTTCTGAAAGTCTGTATTCTTCATTTAACTGAAGACAATCAGCTGATCTGTGGAAAGGATATTTTTGTATACTTTCGAGGAACAAACTGTCTGGTGACGATGGAGCTGATGATGGTGGTGTTATTTCATCTGTGCTAAACGACTTTTCTTTCGATCTCAATGTAAGTTTCGATAAAATTGGGTGTTTCCGAGGCGTAGATTTAGGACTGGCAGTTCCACATACTGCGTGGTGACAGCTACCAAGATCGTCAGAACATGCTCCTTCTTGCCTCCCATCTGTTGAACTGGATCGAACTTGTCTGAGAATAGACACTTTTATATCACCCAGAGAATTAGATCTTGGATGATCTCCCTCGCACTTTCGGCCATCAGTACCAGATTTGCAAGAGTCATCACATTCAGTATGCTCTTTCATATCACATGTATGGTCATGGAAAGGCAACAGTACAGGCATGAAGGGCCTAAGGGGTAGCATGGATTCAGAGGCCAATGATGCTTCCCCTTCCGGAGCCCCTTCCGAGCCTGATGCGCATGAAGTGGAAGCTAAAGTGCTGCTACTGCTGCTACTTTGAGAAGAGGTGATGGTATCTGTTGTTGCTAAATCTCCTTTGCCTTCTAGAGTTCCAGGTTGCATGAGTAGATAGTTATCACCAGATGTTGAAGTAGGAAATTCAGTTTGGTTAAATGACATCATTTCATAAACACCATTGCTGGATGGCGTCTCAATTTTCTTTTTAGGTCTCTTTGGAACAGTACTTACACTTCCTTCAGAATCTTCCGGAATTGCACCGTCGGGAAATATGTTATTGAGAACTTGATTTGGTCTTACATCCAAAACATCGGCGTTTTCATACAGTGAAAGTGTTTGAAGGAAATGCAAATTTGCATAATAAGGTATTAGTTTGCCCGGAACTCCTTGACTAGTTAGGGCAGCTGTAGCAGTCTCTTGGAGATACTTAAGGTTGACGTAAATGTGATTAGCATTGTCTTTACGCCCCATTCTAGACGCGAATGTATTAAAAAAAGGCATTCCGAGACCTGATATTTTCCCACAACAGCAGTCTGGAGTTGAGACTACTGGTGGCTGCCTGCAACGACAATTTAAATTGTGAGTTGGGATTCGACGTTTTGAGCTGTCTGTATCACTTGATGAAACTGGTTTAACAGTACCATACTCGGAGCTGTTTCTGCTTAATGTTTTTCTGTTGCTACTATTTTCGGTGGGTGTAACTTGAGGTAACAGACTTCCAGGACACAGTAAAAGTTTCTGACAAGAACAAATTAATGGCTGCTGGTAGAAGCTTGATGACATACTTGATTTAGGAGGTTTTCCTGTTGGTGTACTTCCAACTAAGTTGCCATTGCTTTCTTTTTCATCCGTTGGAGCATTTGCATTATCCATTTTATTAATTATCTGAAACAATAATAATATTATTTCGCATATTTAATTAGAATCGAAGAATTAAATAAATGTAATTCATTTCTTAAACTTTCTTTTTAAGTTTAATTGGTGCAATTAAAGTTTCTCTTCACGCATATATCTTTTTTGAAGCCAAAATGGTAACAATAGAATTTTACCCTCAAATCACAAAAATCCTCGGAACCTCTTAAATTGGTCCTCTTCAATTTATCATTCCGTAAATTTTTCAATGAGTGAGGTTATAAAAAAATTACTTTTGACCTTTAATAGTTTTTGCAATTCTAGTCATAGTACTACTTCGGTGATTTTTAGAAATTAATATAAATTCTTATAATGTGGATTAACATTTACATATATTTTACTCAAAAAACAAATTCATAAAGAAAAAGCGAATTACTAAATCCAATAATATAAGAGTAGATTAATCAGGCAAAGAGAATTATAAAATAAGTAACACTAACTATTGCAGTGTACAATTATGGATTAAAAAAATATATATACTATGAATTGTATATGTATATAAAAGAAACTAAAATCATTCAATGCAATCATAAAAAAGAATACGCAAATTAGTTTAATAAAAAATAACCGAAACAATTTTTAAAATGTAAACTCAATTTAGACATAATTTAAAATAAACTATTTTGAACATTCATTAACTTTGAATTTCATTAACGTTTAAAATTAAAATGATTGAAGCAATTAATATTTATCCTCACTAATTTTCTATTTGTCTTCAATAAAATAAAAGCATAAAAAAGCAAACTGCTAAAAATTTACACATCGAAACATTAAAAATGAGTCGATGTATCTTTTAATAAAATTTTTTTATCAAACTTAAAAAATGTCTTAAAAACTTTAATTGTTATACTAAATTTAAATTGATATCACACTTAGCCCCAAGCTGTGTTCTTATAAGTGCGAAAGACTGTAACAATGAAAATTTTAAAACTACATTAGACGAAGATAATTGAATGTCCTGATATTTTATAAATAATTGAACGCAGTAGCATTCAAGGGTACGCGGGCATTTGTGAAGTGCAGACCATTTCTTTCCTGTTTACATTTGCTTGCAAACTAAAATTCCTTAAAAGTTGCCCGAGGTTAAATATAGAAGGACTTCGTGTATTTAGAATCATTCTAGACTTTCAAAAACTCTTACTTCGTTCCAAAAAAAAATTTCGTTTTGCTTAATGGCAACGATGGGACTTGAAAGAAGCAAACGATAGGAGAAGGAAAAAACAGTTCTTCAAAAATTCTCAAGAAGCGAAGTGAATTGACGAAAAAATGTGAAGCGTATATGACGTAATTAGCGTGCATCTTTTCAATTTTTTTTGTTTTCGAAGATAAAAAGTGAAATAGAAGAGTAACTCAGAAAAATAAGAATAGTCAAGGATTTCGACAAAATCATCAACACATGCCCTAGGTTATAAATAACAAGAAGACGATACGAAAAGAAAAATATGAAGCTACAGTTTTTTTTCTCCCTCTTTCTTTCTTTCTATCTTTTTTTTATGAAATTCTTTTCTTCAAGAGAACAAGTCGTTTTTATGAAAAGAAAGAGATGCATGAAGTCAAATAATGTAAAGTACCAAAATGTAATAGAACTTTTGCGTTTTTTTCCCCTTTAAAATTAGCAGATGTTTATACAGGCTATTTGAAAGATGTATTTAAGAACATTTAGTGTCAATGTAATTAATATGTAATTTTGTACTTGATACAAAGTTCATGAAAATATTTTGCTTATACTCTGATAATAAGTTTTATATTCATTTATCCTAATTTATTTTAGGTTATTATTTATTGTTATCAATTTCATGTTATCGATGATATTATTATTTATGGTGCTTCACTCTGTTAATAAAAGAAATGTGAAAAAAATTAAAAATATGACGCTTTTTTGTAAAATTCTACTTTTTAAGAGAGCAATTGTTTTGAAGAAAAAAAAAGCTATAAATAGCAACATAATTAAATTAGGCATAATAATTAACATGATTAACATAATTCAATAAGCGAAATGATAATTATAAAATTGTTTATAAGTTTTTGGAAAGAATTATTTTTCAACAATTTTTTATGCAGTTTATTTAAGGACACGTATTAACAATGCAATTTTTTTTNACAAAAAATTAAAATTTTGTTTTTAAATGAAAAAATCTTGAAGAAAATTCATTGCATGGAATTCGGTATGATAGTGTTTAGACCGATTAATTCTAGCAAATAAACAGAAGCTTTCTATATCTTTTAAAGTAAAATTTATAATTAAAATAATTAGCTAAAAGTGTTCAACTGAATTATTTATGTTTGAAGAGGTAATTTTTTATTATGTGCATACCTTAGCTTCTTGGCTTTCACTTGATTCTGAACTTGCTGCTTTTGAAGTTTTTTCGGTATTTTCATCTTTAACACTCTGTAATAGTGAATAAATACTTCAATATTTATTTAAAAAGAAAGAAAATCCTATTAACGTAGAAAAATTCATATTTCTTTTTCTATAATTATCTTTACTTTCAAGAACACGACTCTTAACAGCAAGAATATTCGATTTTTAATTCTTCAGTTCTGTAAATATTCTTCAAATCGTATCTATTTGAAACTAACACGAGAATTATAACATCTTGATCATAAAAATATTTATTTTCCCAATTTTAGAAGTGATTCTCGAAACAGTATGTTTATTTTATCATGGCATGCGAGTTATTTAATTTTAATATTAAGGGATTATATTATCCTTTAATAAAAAAATACGGCTTAAGTCTTATTGAAAAAGAGAATGAATAAAGATAATATTATTTTGAAAAGGGTAATTTTCAGAAATGAAAGCAAAATTTGTTTTTTTATTTTCTAATAAGTTTATTATTTCGTTATGATTTCAGATAATTTTGCTGATTACAATTTTTTTTAATTTCTCATTTTTTTCTAATTACAAAAATAAAACTGAAATCTTTTGTGGAAAAAAAACATTTAATAAAAACAACATTATTTAGAAAATGGCAGTATTTAGAATTGAACACTAAACTTGCTTCTTAATTTTTGATGAGTGTATTACTTCTTTATGATTTCAGGCAAATCTTTTGATTATCATCAATCTATCAATTAAACATTATTAATAAACAATAATATAAAATTAGGTGATTGATAATGTGCTTTAAATTTGATAAATTTTACAACGCTTTGTACACTAATTTCTTTCAATAGAATTTTAAAGTCATATAAAATAAAAATTATATTTCAATATTAAAAAAATACACATGAAATTTCACAAATCAAAAAATTACAAAAAATATATAAAATCATTATCTCAAATTACTGTAGCGAATTTCATGTCCAATAAGAACTCCAAAAGTAGACATAGTACACAAAATAAATCTTAATCTCTGATTCATTGTATCTGATTTCCACTGTTCCGTTTACACCAAGCTTTTAAGCTCCCGCATCGCTAACCAATGGCGACGTTCGAAACAGTCTCACAAGTCCTGTCTTTAACTTCCGAACATAGAGTAATACGAAAGTGGGTAGACATTCCTCACAAAATATTGACTTTACTTCTTTCCCGTCCTAAGGAAGAGAACAAACACAGCAACCGGCTATTGACACACGACAGAGACACGCTATGAACTGTGTGCCTAGGACATAATACAGAATGACCCCTGTATGTACATACATACAACTCAGTTATAATAGGGCATGGGAGTGAGAGGCTGGTCTTTTGTCAAGAATGGTTGAGAAGTTAAGAAATATGTTTTTGTCATTACATTAAACGTGGGATTTTTTCTTTTCAAACAAGGGATTACTTGTTATTTATCCACACGATAAATTTAAATTCTGTGACGCATTAATTTTAGGTTTTCAGTGGTTTCACAGCTTTTAGTTAATTTTGTATTGAAAATAATTTTAATAATTAGACATATTTATTAAATAATCTAGTGCTTTAAAAATCTTGTAACTTCAAAACTAATTTCTGGAGTTGAGTTCATTATCGCTGTCACTACTACTCGTATGTGCTTAATTTAGTAGTGTATTATAATCCAAGAGGGAGAAAATTTCAGGAAAAATACAACCGTAAATGTAGTTCTACAGAATCTTTCATTTTTAAAAAAAATATATGATAAAGGTAGTCTAGACGAATAATTTTATGGTACTTTTTCAATGGTATGTCATGGTAAAGTTTCAATGGTATGTCATTGGTATCTTTTCAATGGTATGTGATGGTACCAATCTCATGGTGTGACATCATGACCTTTAACACATACTTAATTTATTTTCGTATATGTAATTGCTAATACAATGTTTTCTATAGGTTTCGAAAGTTCGAGTCCTTGAAAACTCAGTTCTTATTAACGGGTATTTTTCAGTAGTTTCATAACTTATAATTCAAATTTATTTCTTATTAAAAATAATTTTAAATAATCAAGACATAACTATTGAATAATCACGGGTTTCATAATTCTTAGACTTGCTTCTTCAAAACCAACTTCTGATTTAGAGTTCCTTATCGCTGGCTGTCACTATTGCTCGTATGTGTCATATGAGCAATAGTGACAGCCAGTAGTGTATCATTAGTAGTGTATCATACTCCGGAGAGAGAGAGAATGTCAGGAAAAGTTTCTGGAGAGTATTAGCATAAATGTAATCAGTAACTTCTATTTTACCATTTGAATTTTGTGGTAATATATATGATAAAAGTAGTCCAGACAAAGGTCAATATAAGGTCATGGTACTTTTTCTCTCATTGATTACGACGTCATGACTTTAAAAATACTTAATTTATATCAGTAAATGTAATTGATAATATAATGTAAAATTTCACATAGGCTTTACAAGTTCCTTGAAGATTGAAGAATAATCCTTGAAGATTGAGTTCTGATTAACATTAATATTTATACCATGTAATTTTATAGTAAAAATTGAACTAACATAAAAATATTGATATCATATTTGCCAGCATACGTTCTCAGTATTGCAGTGAATACTTTGGCGTGTGAGTACAAGAGAACGAAATGGTCGCATTGAGTAGGAAAACTGATATATAAAGGGTGCCTATACACCAATCTAATTGAATAAGGATGTACAAGTTATATACCACAGTACCCCATCGTTTTAAATATTTTTATGCTAAAAGAGCCATTGAGAATTGCTGTAGATTTTTCAACCTAAAAAGATGAAAATAATAACAAAATAAAAACCATCTTTGACAAAATGGGTCAGTGAACATTTTTGATTATAGAAAGCATTGATTATTTTCAATCAATAATTCTTTAAGCTGTAAATAGCTAGTGAAAGCTACATAATTTAAGATTATATTTGAAAAGAAAATCTATGATAGATAATTTATGAAACAAAGTTTACAACTTGTTAAACGTGTAACACTTTCTCCATGTATTGTAACAGAGACACGAAAAATTCAATACTAGATATAAAAAAAAATATGATCGATTTAATTAAGTTACTCTAACAGCTTTAAATAGCTGGGAACCAAGGCATCGATTTAGGCACTAACTAAAATTCTCTTTTAGAAACTGGTTGCGTGTTACAGCTAATTCCATCGTCCAACAAGTAATTTAATCTTGAATATTGGTCCGATACTGATGAGTTTGCGAGAAAAAACTCCGGCTGTTTAAACTTGCAACTTTCTCTTATTTTGGAGAAGAAAAAAAACGGAAAAAAAGAGATGTTTTAACGGTACTGTTGATTGATTTTTCTATTTGCATGTCGGCACAAAAGCTCTGAATTGGAAAAATAAAGGAAAGAAAATTCAAACATAACAAGAAAATGTGGCGAGTATTTCTTGGAACTGTAACTTTTCTTCCGATATTTCGAATTTCCACCTCTCCCCCTACTACGTCCAAAGAACTAGAGACAATTCTAAAGTAGGAGAAAAAAAGTTTCCAATAAATTTAACGAAAAAAAAAAGAAAGATCTTTGAAATTGGTCTTCTCGATTGCAAGCATAGGAACACGTGAGGATTATTATTTCTACTGCAGTTTTCATTCGAATTTTTCGATCGGCACAACTCAACTCCACTCTTCACTTCGCCCTTTCCCCTTCAAAAATAACGACAGCCAATAGAGAAGCACGGAGCAAGTCCTTCCGTAAGCTACACGTTTTCCCTTCTGGAAGATTTTATTTATTTACATCAAATGCTTCGTTTCCGTTGTTAACGAAGCGCACGCACAAAATAGCTTATTTTTACTTGAGCTGCCAAAAACTTCATCACAATCTCTTTTTACGTGTTACGTAGAAAAATACTTGTTTTTCCAACCTGTTTTCATTCCTTTTCACCAATTTAGAATTTTATTGCCATCATTTTGTACACCGGTCAGCAAAAGTTAGGTTAATTATTTTAATCTCAAAGAATGTCTCCTGAAGCTTCTTATTCAATTAGTCAGCTGAAGTTTAAGTTTCACTAGTTAATGTAATTTGAAAGCAAAAGAAAACTACAAATGAGTTTTATGTTCTAAGTGAAACTAGTAGTTCTTATAGGACCGACCCCAATTTTTAATTTGTTTTTTGGGGTAAAAGTTTTTTCTTTATTACTTTAAGTGATTACTTTAGTTTAGTTTTTTTTCCAGGAAGAAGTTAAATTTTAGATGTTAAAATGATACTTATAATGAAGAATGTAACAAGTAAAGATATTTTTTTTTACTGACTTAAACTAATTGAAACTTATTTTTAATTTTTAAGTATCTCATTTACTAAATGCTTAATTTACAGTTTTCTAAATTTAATCTTTTAATTGTTGAGAACTTTTGACTGAATAATTTTTTGTTTCTGATAAGTAACGTTTCAATACAGACGGAAGAATGAGAAGTATTGTGGAAAATCGAAAAACAATAGAATGAAAACTTAAATTTTCTTACAGCATCGTTGTTTGATATAACGACCCTTGTCGTCTAAGAGAAAACAGATTTCGGACTAATTTAAAGCAAATTAATAAACGCTAGATTAAACTTGAAAAATCTATGCTATACATTAAAATGAATCAGAAAACAGACGAACAATTGATGACAATACAACGCGTTCAAAACATTATTCGAAATAAATTTAAGATGTTTTACGTTTATTGTTCACTATCATTAAAAGAATGGTGGTTTAAATCGTGTTTTGAAATTTTCGCTTTCAGTTAACTGATTGTCAAGCTATACATTTGGTTTTTAAAGCGCAGAAATGCTTAACATATTACTTTGAAGTGATTGTACCGGAAATAAAGAAAATTAAATAAAATTTCGGTGGCTATATTAAAAAAACGAGTGAGAAAATTACATTGCGTTTTTTGGATTAGCAAACCACACTTCATGTATTCATTATAATGGATACTCATTACGCACTTCATTATGATGGATAAGCCTTTGTAATGGGAGCCGTACTAACGAGTGTGGGCTTTATTATCTTTAAACTAATTTTCCCATATCTCAAAGAAAACTTGAGGGGAATTTCAATTTTAGACTATGTCAACCTTCATCTATCAAAAGGCACCTCGTGATACAATCAAGTTAACATGTCTTATATACTAGTGAATTGGTATTTAATATTTATAGTGGTAGTTAAGCCACAGCACTCCCTTTCCAGAATTTTATCTGTGATAGAATACGATGAACGAATACCACAAGTTGATTCATGCTGTTTATTTATTTATAGCAATTTTTGCTCATTAAATTTTTTCTTAATTTTTTTTTATTTATTTAATTTTTCTCATTTTTTTGAAGTTATACTTCTTATGCGAATTCCAACAAGGTTGCGTTAAACGTTTAACGCTACATTTTTATTGGCCGGGAAATCACGTGGTAGGATCCAGTTTTCCCTCATTCATTTCCATATTGTTTTGGTTCTCACTAGCATAAAAATAATGAAAGTATTGTTTTTCTATAAATATTTTTTTAGTTTGATTTGATACACATATAATTTAATAGGGTAGTATTTTTCATTTTCAAATTTAGTGGATAACAATTGTAAAAATTGAGTGAAAACAATCCCACGGACAATGAGACGGATTTGAGGTTATGTCAAGGTACGTCTCTTGTGAATATCAATTGATTGTAAGAAAATTACATTATGATTAATTTACTCTTTCTTTACATTATGATGAAATTACTCCTTCTTTACATTATGATGAAATTACTCTTTCGAAATTACATTATGACGCATTCACATACATTATTAACACAAATACATTTTCCAGGGCGAGACGATGAGGCAACCACAAGCACTTTCACTGGTTCAAGAGGTCCACGAGGGAAAAATGCACAATATTACCGTGATTACAGAGCACGGAAGCGAGCTTATTCCATCGTATTAC